AAACAATCTGAAGATGGAAGTGGCCTCTTAGAGGAAACATGAGAAGGATGGTGGCCTATCGTCAGAGGCCATGCTATCACGTACACACTGTTTTACGTACTCTAAGAAATTGAGGCTGAATCTTTAGCTTTATCTATACTCAACTACTTACAATGCAATGATCAAATGCAATATTTGTATATCAAATCCAAAGGTTTGATTGGCAAGTAAATTTTCTTTTTTCAGACTAATAATCTTCCTTACCTTAATATATGTAAAACTCAACACCTTTGGATCTTTTTAATACTACATACCCATTGAGATATCTTAGGCTATAATAGTTTTGGTTGGAAAACTAATCTTTTTGAACACATTATGATAAAAACTTATGGTAAAAGTTAAAACATTTGTATTTAAAATATAGGCTACTCTTTTACTTTAGTGATCGTGTCTTCCTGAGTGTGAATGTTTTGAAGGCGAAATGATTAAAAGGGGGTTAAAATTGTGGTATTCATTTTTTGATGATACTTTTTGTTCAAAATCAATATCCAAATACAACTATATAACCTTAAAAAATACATGCGTCTATTCTCCCTAATACTACAACACTCTGTTAAGTATTGAACTGATTGTCATAAGGGATATTTGACTTTCAACTACTGCTTAAAAATGAAATGGAGCCAAATGTAATGGAAGCCCATAAAAGCCCTTGGAATACCCATTACTTAAATTTCAATATGAAACTTAATATATATTTTTTTACAAAAGTTGCAATCTTTAGGCGGGATTTGGTTGCCATGCCAACACCAACGATGATTTCAAAGTTGGTGTAATGATACAAAAACAATAGATCTTAACCCTTCCCGGGCTAAATTAAATGAAGGGCTCGAACTTAATAATTTTTTGACAAAATAAAAAGACGTAAAGTGGTTATGTTTTGTATTTATTCTGGTTGAAATAACTCATGGATCATAAAAAGGTTTTCCTTAGGGCTGAACTAACTTTTGTAAAACAGTTATGAAGAAATTGCATTTAATTTGACGGATATATCCGTCCACCTTATGTTTTTTTGGGGGGCCAAAAACGTTCTTCAGGTTCATCATATTCATCACATTCTATACTATTATTTTCATTTCCAAGTATAAAATCCCCCCCCAGACATACTTTTATCATTTTATATTACTTCATCTATGCTTTTATTAAGCATCCAATACTATCTTCAAATTTAAGATCGTTTGGATTAGTCAATTTAGCTCGATAACATAAAAATAAAGCACAAAACACAAAAACAATTTAAACGTCACTCACTAACAACCACTTGTGAAATGATAGTTTCACATTATTTACTCACTCTATGGTGCAAAATAGTAGCCGGAAAGCTTGTGCAATTATTATACAAATTACCCATTTATAATGCAGTGTACTGTTTTTTTTTCTTATTATAAAGATTGGTGTATACTAATTAGTTTTTTGGCTGGATATATCCGCTATAGCCCGTCCATAGCCCTGAAAGGATTTTAAGTCTCAGTAAAAATACATATACTGTAGACAAAACTCTTCTTTTCATGGCAACCACACTGACGTTACAATACAGATGATATACTATTACGAACTCTTATGTTTCCATGACGACAACAACAACGTCAAAATCACAGTTGATCTATCAGTGCAGTAAAAATAAGAATTCATTATCCGCAAATAAATTATAGATTTTACGTTTACACGAAAGCAATGAAAAATATCACGGTTGGTGTGTCAGTGTGTAAAAAGTACAAGATTAGTCTCGATTGCTACCATACATTGTACGTCATTATAGTGGTTGCTATGGTGGTTGGGGCAAGGGGTTTCAACATCATTTCTCTGTGTGGTAGACCTCAGACTGGTAGATTAATTATGACCTTAAGTGTAAGTTGAACATGTCTATTAGGTGAATAAACTGAATACCATAGTTAACGACCTTCTTATGCTCTGTAAACAAACATGACTGTTCGATTCATGGGTAAACAAAAAAACTTAATTGTAGAGAAAATATTTGATTACTTAATCTTAGCAAAATCTACCTATGTACGTACAATAAGGAACATAAAGGAAGACAAAATTTATGTAAAAAATGAAGGACAATCTTTTAGGTTTGGGCAATGGAGAAAGGATAAATAAAGATATCTATATCAAAGATAAGTTGAAAACTTATCTTATTCGAGTGGAAAGCTATTTAACATCTATGCTTTAATTAAAAGTCTGGAGCTAAATCTTTGACAGTAAGAACAAGAGAAATGAAGTTAATTGCTTTGCTAAAGCACCAAGAAACAAGGTTTTATATTCTCTTTAGATTTAAACTTTATCAATTAACTGGATATTGCAGTTTTAATATCCTGTTGAGATTATTAGCTTATTAACTTTTGCAAAATCAAGAAGGTTATAGCACTTGTTTGTGACGAGAACATTTTTCCTTATGAAATAAAAACAATAGTTTACTCTAAATTTTTATTGAATGGGGAAAATACTTGTGATGTTGTGAGTGTTAATGGGTCATAAGCTTAAAACAGTTATTTTGGTTGATTTTCATGACCTAAATCTAAATTACCCAATTTACTGTAAAATCATTGAATAAATATTGATATGAATCTATTCAATCGTATATTCCAACCTATATAAATGTCCATTTGTTTCATTGTATTACAATTCAGTGAATATTTTGATTTTCGATAAAAAGAAATGTAAAACCTTATAAAACAAGAGATCAGCTGATACGACGAGTGCATAGAACTATCAACTAACCGAGTTGCCATTATCCAACAGCTGTTGTTCACTTGATAAAGTCACAGCTTGTTTCCATTTAAACTACTCTTTATTCAGCACGTATTTTAATTTTTAAAGTTTTTTTCTAGTAAAAAGGTAGTAAAGTAAAGTTGTAAAGTAGTAAAAAAATGTACGGTAGCTGTTTAAACGAGTATTTTGTTTAACCATTCCATAATCTTTTATACAAACAATTAGGCGTTCAAATACTATATTGTTATTTGGAAACAGAATAAGCTATGGATGTTCACAAAATAAAATCTCCAACACAGCAAAATCTTCCTCACCGATGGGACTCTTGATCGATTCCTTGAAACTCATGGATTTGATTAAACTACTAGACAGACTGCATCTATATAAAAACTAGACTGACCTCTTTTTAAATGAAAATTTTATTATCCTTAAAAATAAAACTGTGCAATTTTCCTTCAAAATATTTAAATACAACCAATTTAATGTCCGATTTTCTTTTTTTAAAGCTTAAACTAGACACATTGTGTACGATTTTTACCTAAACAAATGTTTCAATAACACATATTTCTTTAGTCAAGTAAAACAAAAATGCATATAATAATCCTAAGCAGACAAAATATAATATTAAATATTTTTCTAAATATCATGAGACCTTAAATTGCAGATATATGTGGATTTTAAATTAACTCATAATAACATGTGATAAACGTTATGTAATTGAAATGGTATAGCCCAGATTAGTGATACATACAATGCACGAACATTTTTTAACAGTGAACTTTAGAAGGCATGTATATTACAATATAAAACCTTAGCAATATCTCTTTCTACGCCATCACTTATGTGCAGCACACGAGGTTATCTCTCACTTTACGACCTTCTCAGGACGCCTCGTATTTTTTAATGTCGCTTTCATTGGATGAACTGAAGATAGACAGCAATTTTACAAACGACAGTTTTATGTGTGCTTAGATAGTTATGATACCAAATAATAACCTTGAATATAAGTTAAGTTTATGATTTCATTACAGGTAGATCTTTGAATTTTTGATCAAAATTAAATTTGATGTTTAAGAAAGCATGGTTTGGATATTTCAAATTAAGTTTATTGGTGCTTGAAAATATTGTGTGACGAAAAACTGAAGTGTGAAAGACGAGGGAAGACATTCTTATGTTTTCAGACGTGTTGTGGATTCTAATGCTTGAATATGAATAAACAGCAAAACAAGTTACTGGAAAAAAAACTGTAGTTTACGTATTTCCTTCAAAAAGCTTGAAACAATGCAAAAAAGGGTAAATATATGTAAAGTGCTAATGTTTTGTATGGTAGAACACGTTTCTGCACTTGGTTTCAATTTTATCACCAGTAAACAATAGCTCAGCTTTATACTGTACCAAGCTTACTTAAACTTTACCCAGCCAGCAGGTGGATGTAATGTTTGATAATGATTGCAAATGCTAAACCATTTCCACAAATTAACTGGTAACCGCTCACTAGATAGGCAGTTTCCCCCCTATAATGTGATTCCGAGCAAATGCACCATTGGATGACGCAACCCAGGCGATTTAATTGCAATAATTTATATTTAGTTCTTTCATAGTAGAATTGAAGGAAACCTCTTTAACTAGTAGTGTTTACATCATTGAATATCTTTTGGACTTGCTAATATATTTGCTATTTAACTGTTAAGGGTTGTCTATTATTTTTATATGGTACTTACTGTAAGTATGGGATTTACTTTATTACAAAATATTCTACTTTATTAATATATTTTGTGAACAAACTTAATTTTCAAGTTTTTAAAGTTAAGTTAGTGTTTAAACTTTAAAGTGTGAAGCATCATTATAATAATTTCCTACCACTCCATGGAAATGAATAAATTGCCACACCTGTTAATATTACGCACAATGGCTCATTTCCGCTTAAAAAGAATTTCTAAAAATTCATTTTGTGGAATTCAATAGACATAATTGATTTTGAGATTTTAAAACGTTTTATTGTTTAGTATAAAAGTTTATGTTTTAGCAACATTTTTCAAATTTAGATGATGGTGACTCCCCGAGTATACAGTTGATCAAAACATGACCCAAATATCTTATTTAAGCGAAATCTTAGTCAAGAACACGCCAGTTGAATACTTATAATATTAAAATTATTAAAGGAATATTTCTGTTTGCCAGCTTTTTTGGTATGATACTATTAATTGTATTCTTCTTTTCAGAAAAATCTCAAACAAGTGTTTCTGCGCCACAGTATTTGGTGTTATGTGGTAAGTCTGAAAAATAACATATTCTTATTTTGTAATGTAGCAATATTTATTGTATTTATTTTGTAAAATAGATCACTTAGTAAAGTTGTATAAGTATTTTTTATTGTTGATAATTATCTGGTGTGTTTATATGATAGCTATAAATGAATTCAAAACTTAAAGAATTTCCTTACATTCAACAAAAATTAGAAAATGATTAACCCCAAATAATTTTTAACTTCCCTTTTATAATCTAATTTAACATGTTTCAAGACTTAATGACTAGCCGCACAGAATGTTAGGCTTCTACTCTGAAAGTGACTTGATGAATAGGCTATAAGCACCATTACAGTTACAATAAGACTGGTTTTTAACACGGAAAATGGGTAATGTGCATATTTCTAAATGTTTTGGACACTAAACTCCAATCACTATATAATTATTGTGATAATTATCTAAACCTATTTACGGTAATAGATTGATAAGCTTACACAAACTAAACCAAAGCTCTAGCAGTGTGTCGTATATGTTGTATAGTTTGGACAGTTCACTAAGCTAGAATATACTATTGTTATTCATAAACTCTGTGGACCGTAAGATCAAATGTTTCAAATCTGTTTAAAACATCCAAATAGTTACAGCTGAAATATTATTAAACAACTTGATCCAACGAACTTTTGTGTACACTCATCAAATTCAGCATTTGTGGTAAATATGTCTGCAAATAAAACGTATCCATCCACAAAATAATCACTTCAGGGCAAAGGAATTAATAACGGTAACAGCTTTTCGTGTAAAACAAAAAAAAATTATTTGTAATGTAAACAATTTATGAAATTTTATTTTTTGCAATTTAGTAAGCTAAATAATAAAAACTCAATAATGCCGTCAATTATGTTTATCACACGAACCACCATAACTCTCCTTTTGACCGTCTATGACTTTAAAACCTAGGCTTTGCCTTGATGTCATACTCGAGCTAGTGTTAAACAGATTCATTTCAGGCTAATTTGATTGAATTTATTATACCTCAAACTGCAGTCAAAACAGCTGTTTCAGCGTAAAAATTCTGGCTCTAACTCTTCTCTAGTAGGAAAAAATCGGCTTGAGGTGAGTTGGTTGAGCTGAAAATATTGATAGTTGTAAAATTCGTCTGCTGATTCTGCCGATGAAATTAGTTCCTTATAATTTGTGTTTATCATCGTGTTATATTGGATAGTTCATACAATATACTCTCCTACCACAAATTGATAATTTAGTAATGATATTCATTGTATATATACTGCAGCATATAAAGTATAATATCGGAACAAGTCATGTAGTAGTGCTTCTGAGCTGTTTGCAACAATAAGAGGATGAACATTAATATTAACGACCGTCAAGGGAACTATTACACTCACCAGCGTTGGCCAAAGGATGCATCGCTTACAAAGGCTTTTACGGTCTGAAGTATCTTACATAAATTACATAAAATGTATGTAATGCATTTCATACTTATTAATAATAGGGTACATAAATTATTGCGAAAGGGGTTGACGTAGTTTAATGCTAATTAGACAGAATTATTTTAACAGTTTTTAGGATCCAGTGACCTTCAGTGGGAATTTACTTAAAATGTGTAATAAATACATTCAAAAATGACATTTTTTAAATTAATTGCAAATGTCGAGGTAATGAAAAGTGTAAATCAATACCCGATATTTGTCCTATTTCTGAAATACTATAACATTTACGTGAAGAACTTAACCTCAACATTATTTAAACTTCATTTTAACTACGTGACAGGGAAGCCATAAAAGAAATTTTGACGATTGTTATAAAATTACTTTATGGTCGTTTGACATCACTCTTAGTTACGTAAAAATGGAGAAGACGTTAAACAGATGGACAAGTGTTTAGTTAAATAACGGTTAAGTTGAAACTATAAAGTATTGTTGTTTTATTAGTATCAGAATGAGAGAAGAATATCAAAGTATCAGGCTAGCATAAATGGAAGAATTTTTACATGAAAACACATAGTTTTATGTGGCTACAAATACTTCGATAAAAAATATCGTAAAGGCCATAAACCTGATACTAAGATAATTAACACATAGCTTAAAATGCAACAAGGTAATATCCTGACTATCACCATAAAAAATGCATATTCGAATTATTATTCTTTAAGGCTTAAATATGGTAATGTTAAAATTGAAATCAAAATCGTATTTACACCAAGACGTACATGGATAATCTATAAGCTCAGAAGCTCCATTTTCAAACACTTTACAAATAAGGATTGTCTTCATTTACCTAAACGTGTTACGTATAGTTTTACTTATATGTTAACTTTTTACCTAAACTAAAATTACACTTGAAAATTACAGCTGTGCCCATGCTAGTAGAAATATATGCCAAGGAAAGGCTTTAAATAGAGATAAAACCAAATAAGAACGTAGGTTTGTGATTGATGAAGATGGATTCAGGCTGTTGTCGTGTATGGCTGTCTAGATACAACTAAAATACGAAAACATGCTGTGTATCTAAATATATAGAAACGCTAATAAATTCATTAATTCAACAAAGTAAATACAAATAAATAAAATCTAATTAACTGATTTAATTGAGATATTGTATATTGAAGTTGGTTTCTGTTTACTATTTAGTCATTATCATCCAACTCTAAGAGACCAATTAAATCGTAAACATATTTTTCTTGATGGTCGAATCGTTATAGTGTTTATCTTCAAGAAAGTCGCTCTTTCGATTCCAATAGTTCCTCTATACGATAATGACCATTTGGTTATCAGTTAATGCTATTAACAAAAGGACAAGGTTAGGTAGGAACATGACTAGGATTTGGACCATTCTCTCTAAAAAATCTTTAAAATTCAATAGTATACACGTGGTCTTCAATTCAATATCTGGTTTTAGACAGTTAACCCCCTGAATTGCCAAAAAGTTTCTATTAATCAAACAAAAATGTTTAAATTTACTTTCCCTTTAAAGTATTTACAGGTTCTAAAAATACGATCTTCTCCCACTTTTAAGATTTAAAAAAATAAACTTAACAGCGAGATTTATTTTTCCAGATAAGGTCAACGTAGTTTATAAAACAGTTAAATTTAATATTCTTAGTAGTAGGAGCAGTAGTTATAAAGCCTGATACAAAAAATCTTAAGGAGTTTAGCCTTAATAGGGCATCTGTGCGGATCTTGTGGTGTTCTTGAGATATCTTTAAAAAGAAACAGTTTATAATTAGTTTTTATAACCCTTTGTTTTAGTTATATAATAATTTTATTCTTTTGGAATAGTTTCCTGTAACAGTTAACTCTAAGCAAAGCCATAAATGTGATATTCCCTATATTGGAGAAGCGAGTGCAGCTTGTAAGAGGAAGGTTATGTAAAATGTTTGGCTTGAACTGAGAATATTGCATTGCCCTTGCAAAAACAGCTTGTTAAACTTTCTTCCTGAATAACGTTCTTATATTTCATCTCACGTAATATCTTTTACAAGAAAAATTCCAACAATATACACTTTATTACTTTGTTAGTTTTTTTTATATGAAAACACTCAAAAACACAATGCAAGAAATCATATTATGTCAAATAATTTTCCATTTTTGAATCAGTGTAACGAAGTATGTAAACAATTAGCACTGTAACACTTTTTTTTTCTCTATAAGATTTATTTTTACTCCCTACTCAAAAAATCCCGATGATATAAAATCATGGACTACTGTCAGAACATTTTAAAAGTTAAAAGTAAATTGTAAATAATTTGTATTGAGTGTTTGCGTTAGCTAATCAACATACATTTGTTTGACTGGAAATGGAATACTAAATCCCTTCAAATTCTTAGTTAGTTGTTTTAGTGGAACGTAAAATAATATAATTTAAATTTACAAATAGATCAAATTATTTATATTTTTAGTTATGTAATTAGGTTATCTTGCGATAGATTTCCTAAATGATCATTTTGATTGTTCTAAGGCAATTTTGGCAGACAAAATATTCGTCCAGGAGGACTGGCGGGCAGGCAAAAGCGCCTAAGGTCAATACAATTCTTTGCACGCCGTTGAATTTTCCAACATCAGTGGTAGTTCTAATTTCCACAGACGTGACATGGTTCCCACCCCGTCCAAATCCCCCCAATATTTCAATTTTTGGTACAAATTGTATCGAAAAATATGTGATTGTGTCCATACCATCGATGTATCGATGGTCCATACTTAACTTAGGGTAAATGCGCATTACGTTAAACCTTTTTAAGCATAAATTTTGTAATCTATTTCTAGTGAAATCATTTTCAATTAATGCGTGGAAAAAATAACATTATTTACGTAGAGACAATTGGAAAAATCAACTAAGTTATTGTAGACCTTCTTTGATAAAACAACATTTGCATTTAGCCTTGCCTCGGGGCATTGTCCTAAGCAGGACTTTATAAGATAGGATTCACGTCTGGTTCCTTACTCATGGGAACTTCGTCGGGTCTTTCGTTCGTTGTGTGTTTTGGTATATGCAATAATTATTTCTCGTGTTTTGACGTTTTGCAAGCTTTAATGATGTTGCGATTGCAACGGAAGTCGTCAGCATTTTGTTAATAAACATTTAGGTTGACAAACGTAACCTCTATTGACATGAAAGGAGTCCAAGTCAGAAAAATGGATTGTTGAAACAGAGAGAAGATAGCAAATATTTTATTTAAAACAATTATATCTTCATAAAAATACAATTAATAATATATTGTTAATGGTTATAAAGTATATTGAAGTGATTTGTTTGTAGTGTATATTGTAGTGAATACTTTCCTTGTCCGGAAATCAGACTTCGCTTTTCCAAAAATTAGCTACCGGTACCAATATGGCTTTGTTATTTGCATGTAATTGAAATGAATTACAATACCTTATTCTACACCTAAGGCTAGAGATATAAATGTTTTTGTTTAACACGGACATTAATTTAAAATAACTTTTAATATCAAGAAGTAAAATTAAAATTTCCACTGAAAGAATGGTAGTTTTATGAATTTAAGTATG